ATGTTCTTTCAGTAGCACTCATAGGTCCTAAGCTTCAAAGATTCTATCTAGGCAGCACTAAATGAAGGATGCAACAGGAAGGTGTGTTCAGGTGATCTACAAGGACTGTATACAATGGAAACTATGTGCAAATTTCTTTGGTCAAATTATTGATTTAAATTTTCTAATTGCAGTTTGATAGTGGCTTTAAAAGTAGGGTGAATTTCTATGCCCTGAAGATTGAGGTCAAATAGTTATGGATTAGTCAGGGATTATAGTGGTGCGTGCATGTGTGGATTATTTCAGCCAGGACTTTCTTTTTTTTTATCATCTACTGTCCATTTTTATGACATGATAAAAGTTTTCCACTCATGGAACAAACAAAGTTTTAACTTATCTTATACATATCTGTGACTCATGGTGATTATAAACAAATAAATCCCCTTTGCCAAGTCGGTGATGTTTCCTGGAACTCCTGAGGTGTGATGGATGTTCACTGATGCTGAGTAATGTTCAGTTTTACTTCTTTCAAAACATAATGCAGTATCTGAGTTCACTCACTGCAGCCAAAATGACAGCAAACTTTTTGCTTGAGTTTATAGCTCACTTTTAAAATGCTAAAAATACAGAGAAACTGCAGCGGAAACGAGTTTCAGGTTGGATGGTATTCAAATTTGCATATTCTCCTCCTAGTCTTTGTACATGTATCATTCAGAAGGTCAGCAGACTGTTAGCTGACAGAAATACAAAGATGTATTCTTTAAGGTGGTATAAAACTTTAATTCTGGGTCAGTTTGGTGTAAAGGTGTCTTAAAAAGAGAGTTTTCTTAACATAGACAGCAAAAACAAAACTAATTGTTTAAACGTCATTGTCTGCATGTTTTTCATGTTTTATGTCGTCTTTTACTTACATGTAATTTTTTTGATATATTTTAACCAGTTAAAATGATTATAGGTTAACAGTTTTACCCATATGTGTTTATTCACATAGAGGATGTATCCACCCTTGAAAGAGGTACTCACCAGGCAGGGTTCACCCCCACCATAGAGACAAGCTTCAGGGCCATCCTGCGATGAAGACCACACTTCTCAACGGATGTCGCTAGGCAGATGACCCCCACTAACAGGAAGTGAAAGTCTTTGAAGTACTCCCTTGCCACCTTAAAGTAACAGGATGGTTTCAAAATTCTAATAAAAACCGAATCATAAAACCAGATTTACTTTTGATGCGTCAACAGTAAATCTGTTGACGCATCAACAGTAAACCAGTTTTATATATTCTCATAACATATTTACGTAAACACAAAATATATTAAACTCTGTGAACTTTATTGTTAAGCAATGCCAGAGTGATTGGGCGACCCTAATGTCTCTGGACAACTGAACCCCTGTCTATCAGCAGCAGTCTGGAACTTTATAGCTTCTCCATATGAACATGAAATGTTATCTATAATATATATTGGCTGCTGTAGATAACTGATGTTTAAAACTCCAAGGAAAGTAACACAGCTGGGAATAGTTGGAGGAAAAAGCCTCTTCTTGGAGGTTTAAGATAAAAATAACTAAAAATAACAAAACAAAAAAAACTAAAAATAACAGTTTTGCTTCACATTAATCTTGGATTAACTTGAAAAAAAAATAACTTCAGCAAACTTCACAAAAAGCTCAATGATCAAACCCCCCACCGCAGTTATAATCCCGGTGTTAGTTTTTCTTTAAACATGGTTTTCATCATATTTTGTCTATTTTCCTTGTCTGTTTAAAAAGCATAATTTGCTGCTTGGTCCTGAGGAATCAGTGCAGCTCTCTGACGATGAAGGAAGCTCTGTTCCTTTGCACTCAGAAGAAAATGCCTATAGATCCTTTTTTAAAGTCATTTAGTTAAATATGGGCCATTGTTTCGGAACGTGCACACGGCGTCTCTGTGAATGGGGACATCTGGCCACCTTAGCACTGGGAAATAACCTTACAGATAATGAATAATTGAAGTGTGGAATCTATTCAGTGTTTTACTTTATTACACTCTGTTCCATAATCAGGATTAAAATCCAGTTTCTTCTTTTAGGATTCACTCACATGAGACGACTTCATGATGCCGAATGCGGGGAAGAGGATGGCGGGAAGCATGGCCGTCATAGACAAAGGGATCACCTCTGTCATCCAGAACACGGCCATGAGCAGCAACACAAAGGCACATTCTGCTTCCTAAAAAAAAATGGTAGTAGGGACAATATTAAAGGAAAACCATTTATCCAGCAAAGGTTTAGTTTCACCAAAGGTAGGAGCAGCGAGCTAAAATATCCTCAGGTTTAATGAGATGCTATTTACAACTTTAAACTATGCTAACATGTAGCACAGGACGCCGCAACTCTCAAATGTAGGGAGTGCAGGAAGTGTGAAGCAAAGACCCTCAAACCATCACTGAACACACAGGCTTGGTTGTTCTATTTATTAACCACTGACTCCTCCCACCCTCTGTACGTTTGTGTGCTTTTTTATAAAAGTTTGTTAAGCATTGCTTTGGAAATCTGATAAAAATAAATAACGCTAGAATTCCCAGGATTTTCAGTTTTCTGCATGCTAACCAGCTGCTGCACCAGTGCTGCTGGTTCCAGAAAATTTCAGGCCGGATCAACCTTTCTATCGCCATAAGAACCATTTTAGAATAAAGATATACACTGAGGGGTAAGAACAGGCGCCAATCGCATAATGTCTGCAGAGACTCCGCCTGTGTGCATCAGCAGGGCGCTCATCAGCGAGAGGCTGACTGTTCAACAGAGCCTCGCAGGACGCTTAGTTCTCTATTGAAAGATATTCTAAAAGCAAAAACATCAAACAAAGTTTTTAAAAGTATTGTTTCATATAAAAAGTGATACAAAAATATACATGAAACAATGTGATGATTTATTTACTAACTTGGTTAGATAAAAATAAGACACACAAATAGTTACTTTGTCCAGCAAGAGTTACTTTTACCACTAGAGTAATCCAGTTACTGTTGCATCCTCTGCATTTAGGTATTAGATATGCTAGATTTACAAACCATGGACTATAATTTCATCAGCTCACATACTGGAGACAGTTTAGAAAAAGTGCTCTTCATTATATGAGATAAATGTTATGCTTTCACTGAACTCACGCTGTTTATCTATAAGATACAATACCATCAGATAAGATAGGATTCAATAAGATACATTAAGGTACGACAAGATATGATATGATAAGGTAACATACATTACGATCAGATAAGATAGGTTACGATAGATCAGATACGTTACGTTATGATACGATCCAATAACATACACTATATTGCCAAAAGTATTTGCTCACCTGCCTTGACTCACATATGAGCTTAAGTGACATCCCGTTCCTAATCCATAGGGTTCAATATGACGTCGGTCCACCCTTTGCAGCTAGAACAGCTTCAACTCTTCTGGGAAGGCTGTCCACAAGGTTTAGGAGTGTGTTTATGGGAATTTTTGACCATTCTTCCAGAAGCGCATTTGTGAGGTCGCACACTGATGTTGGACGAGAAGGCCTGGCTCTCAGTCTCCGCTCTAATTCATCCCAAAGGTGTTCTATCGGGTTGAGGTCAGGACTCTGTGCAGGCCAGTCAAGTTCATCCACACCAGACTCTGTCATCCATGTCTTTATGGACCTTGCTTTGTGCACTGGTGCACAGTCATGTTGGAAGAGGAAGGGGCCAGCTCCAAACTGTTCCCACAAAGTTGGGAGCATGGAATTGTCCAAAATGTCTTGGGATGCTGAAGCATTCAGAGTTCCTTTCACTGGAACTAAGGGGCCAAGCCCAGCTCCTGAAAAACAACCCCACACCATAATCCCCCCTCCACCAAACTTTACACTTGGCACAATGCAGTCAGACAAGTACCGTTCTCCTGGCAACCGCCAAACCCAGACCCGTCCATCAGATTGCCAGATGGAGAAGCGCGATTCGTCACTCCAGAGAACGCGTCTCCACTGCTCTAGAGTCCAGTGGCGGCGTGCTTTACACCACCGCATCCGACGCTTTGCATTGCACTTGGTGATGTATGGCTTGGATGCAGCTGCTCGACCATGGAAACCCATTCCATGAAGCTCTCTGCGCACTGTTCTTGAGCTAATCTGAAGGCCACATGAAGTTTGGAGGTCTGTAGTGATTGACTCTGCAGAAAGTTGGCGACCTCTTCGCACTATGCGCGTCAGCATCCGCTGACCCTGCTCCGTCAGTTTACGTGGCCTACCACTTCGTGGCTGAGTTGCTGTCGTTCCCAAACACTTCCATTTTCTTATAATACAGCTGACAGTTGACTGTGGAATATTTAGGAGCGAGGAAATTTCACGACTGGATTTGTTGCACAGGTGGCATCCTATCACAGTTCCACGCTGGAATTCACTGAGCTCCTGAGAGCGACCCATTCTTTCACAAATGTTTGTAAAAACAGTCTGCATGCCTAGGTGCTTGAATTTATACACCTGTGGCCATGGAAGTGATTGGAACACCTGATTCCAATAATTTGGATGGGTGAGCAAATACTTTTGGCAATATAGTGTATGTTACTTTATGATAGGTTACGTTAGGACAAAATATGATTCGATAAGATAAAAGAACATAATATACGATACGTTACGTTGTGATACAATGATATAAGATAAAATAAGATATGTTATGATTAAATAAGATTCAATAAGATACAATATGTTAGGATAAGATACCAACTTTCCAACATTCTTTCACATTGTGAGTTTTGCAGCATGATTTGTCATTGAGAAATTGGTCTGCTCGTGAATTGGATTTGTAAGTAGGCCCTTCCTTGCCTGTTTGGAAAAGCATAGTCACGATAGTTTTTCAAAGGTTATTTGCATTACAGTAGTGACAGTTAGCAAGGTGGCTGCTGCGTTTAGAAGGGGGCGACAACAGGCAGGATGGGGAGGAGCCTGCCTCAAGGAGTGGGTGGGGAGGTCAACTCTGGCAGATGGAGGCAGAAACTGAAAATCCTGGGAATTCCAGCGTTAGATAAGAAAGGTCACGTTAACAAGACGTGGCAGACCGTGGGGACTGAGGCTAGTTTGTGAGCATCTGGGAGGGGAAATAGTGACAGACATCTGCTGAGAACATTTTAAAGATTTGTTTCTCGTGGAAACAAAGCCTAAATAAAGTCCAATAACAAGCTATGAGTGTGCTGATTAAAAAAATTGTTAGTCCTTTAACTTTTTATATGATGATAGATCCATTGAATTTACCTGGCAGATGTAGGCCAGGCTCTAACCTCTCCACAGATAGAAATCTCACATGTTGCAGAAACTGAGAGCAGAGATTGTGATTCCCACAGGTGCAAACGGACCCCTCTTCAGCTCTGAATTAATTAATTGAGCTTCATTGATTTCAAACTGGAGAAATTGACCTCTGTATTTAACCCATCCCCTTAAGGAGCAGTGGGCTGCCACTGTGCGGCGCCTGAGGAGCAGTGTTGGGTTAATTGTATTTTCATGGGAGAAAATCTTAGTTTTCTTTTGCTTCTAGATTGTTACAGCATAAGAGTGACGGATGGAAAATGACCTTAGTCTTGACGACCAGCGGCAGAGGAAGCAGCAGCAGTGGGGTGAGGATGAGGAGGATGATCCTGCGATAGTTCCACAGCCCTCTGCTAATCCTCTTCAACATTTTCTTCTTCCCTTCACTTCTGGTCTTAGTTCCTGTTTTAATCCGGTTGACCTGGAAATCTTTACAAAGCATGAGGAATGATGAAAGTCACGTTGGAAACAGGCTCAGTGGCCATACCTGCACAGTTATTCAGTAATTGGTGGTTATCTTGAATGCAGCATAAAGTCACGATCATTACGACAAAGTATTGTCTTTATGGCGCTTATCAATGTTAATGGCAGAATGGAGAGTTATCGAATTTTTTGATGCATCGTAGACAAGAATTCAGGACAAGTCACAGGTTATGATTTGTCATTTTTAACCAACATGCAGAAACATGTTGCATATCGTTGGTTCCTTTAAACGGAGTGAGCAATGAGGATTAGCTTTGACTGCTTTGGATGTTGCTGATGTTTATTTACAAACAGTAATGCTATGTTTCTAACGTTCCCCTCTAAGAATGCTCATTTGAAGTTTCATTTATGTCTCCATATTATGAGCCGATATCTCAACAAAGTTTTACTATGATCTCATAATGACTGTAAAAACTTGTTTAAATATAAATCACATTGCTAATTATTCTATTTAATAGGTTAGACTTAAGAAAATGGTGAAATAATAGGAAGTGAAATATTTCCTACAGCTGCATATTTCTTTTCTTAAAATACCTTAAAAAAACATCATGAATAATGTTTTTATTTAGATAGTAATAAAAAGAAGAAATAAACATACAGCAAACAAAGTGAAGAAACTGAGAATCTGATGATTTAAATCACAGACCTTTCTGATTTGCCTTCTGTTGGAGGGTTTCAGCTCAAGTTTGGAGAAAGTCCTGTTTTTGGTGCATCGCAGAACTCAGTGTAAATGAAAAGAAAGGCAGCGCTCCATCCTACTAATTAGTCGATGCACTTCTTGTGTCTTTGAAGTTAATTTTTTTAAGAGCTACTCTCTGCTGTTATACATTAACGTGTTGTTAGAGCAAAGACTTTGGCACTGTGTTAGAGGGGACACCATAAAAATGGAGATTGTTACTAACAGACACATGTCTGATGTTTTCATTGGAAAGGTACTAAAACCATTCCAACACGTGAATTTAAAAACCACAGGGCCGGTTCTACACTAGATTACTCCCAGGACCAGATCCTATTCCAAAGGAAACAGTGAACCGCTGCTCAGTGAATCATCAATCTATTGTAGACATCTTGATCTTTCTGGCCTCACCACTTTGATCATTTTTATCCAACATCACCTCCTAAGGTATGTTGTTTTCCCTTCAGTCCAACAAGCATCATTTGAAGTTCTACAGAAAAACACATCTTACTAATATCTTACTAATGGTTTTGGTTATGTTCTGCTTTACTTTGCTCCTTGTTTTCTAGTTTTATTGGTTTAAATCCTATTTTGTTGTAGTTTCTAGATTTATGTTAGTTTTCTGTTTTCCTCTGTTGCCCTCTTGTGTGTGTTCCTTTCCTTTATATCCTCGTTTTATAAAATCTGATTTACAGCTGACAGCAAGTTACCATCTTGGAATAAGCTGGGAAATTGCAAACTGATGAATCCAGGTGTTTGTGACATTATTAACCAGCCAGGCACACCTGGATTCATCAGTCTGTCAAGTAATCAAAGGCTGGAAAAAAGGAGCAGCTCAAGTGCAGGAAGTAGTGGAGCTGTGCATGTTTCCATTGGAGAGACGGGAGATTTGGAGTCATCAAGTCATCCTCATGCCATGTAGTGTCCTGCCCAGCTATTAAACATCGAACTGCCCAGCTATTAAATGCCTCTCTGTCCATCCTGGACAGAGAGGCGGGGTCCATCTGGACAGAGGAGCGGGGTCCATCCTGGACAGAGAGGCGGGGTCCATCTGGACAGAGAGGCGGGTGTCTATTATGGACAGAGACCTGGACAGGTCTCTGGTCCATCTCAGGGCAACACAGAGACAAACATCCATTCAAACACACACTGACGGGAGCCTGAACTCTGTGAGACTCAATCAAGTATTGCAACGTAAAAAACACTATAGAGTCAAACCTCTGGAATTTTTATCTGATACCAAACTACTTTAAACAAATTTAAATAAGCCAAATAAATTGGAAAACAGAAACTTCCAAAAACAAACAATTTTATAAAGACATTGATAAATAAGTGTATAGAGTGCTAACAAAGCTCAAACAACTACTGATTACAAGCTGTAGCTGTTTACACACTGATGCAATAATCTATTCAGGCCATCAGTTATTTAAAGATCCTGTCAGTGAAATGCTTAAACCAGCGGGGAATGTTAAATTTAGCAATCTGCATTATTTTAATGCTGTTTTCCCTCTGGCTCCGTCTGTACTGTGTTAGCAGCTTCATATTGTGGGAGAAAAGTTTCACCATCCACTGAGGCAGTGGGGAGAAGGAGGAGCGATGCTGCTATTGGACCTAGCGTTTGGATAGTGGACCGCGGTCCGGACCCGGACCCGGACCCACCTGCTGGCTAATCCGGACCCAACCTGGTTAAAAACCATTTACATACCGCATGTTGTCTGACGACAGCGTCTAAGAAAAGTGAAATGGTGCTCATTTAGAGGATGTTTGGCTCAACCTGTTGCTGTGAAGCAGGATTCTCCACTATGAACAGAATCAAAAATAAATCTGAAAACGTCCAGGAAACACACAGCCAGGCAGACGAGCTCCGAGCCAGCTCCCATGTCAGAGGATGAAGAGAGCACATCCATCTAGTCAGAGAAACAGGACTAGACTGGAAAACAGGCTGATCTCCAATATCTATAAACAAAGGTGTTGATGGCAGCAGCACAGCTGATATTTCTCTCCAGGATGGAGTCACAGCCAAACAGGAACAGACCAGATGAAGCTACTAGGAACCTCTTGGCCTGTTTTCCAGTCTAGTCCTGTTTCTCTGACTAGATGGATGTGCTCTCTTCATCCTCTGACATGGGAGCTGGCTCGGAGCTCGTCTGCCTGGCTGTGTGTTTCCTGGATGGAGCCGCCTTTTACAGCTGCTTTTTGTATCTCTGCTTCTGTCTCCTTGAACCCCAGTGGGCCTCAGCAGATGGCCGCTCACACTGAGCCTGGTTCTGCTGGAGGTTTCTTCCTGTTAAAAGGGAGTTTTTCCTCTCCACTGTCGCTACAAGCATGCTTAGTGTGAGGAATTGCTGAGTCAATGAGTCGATGCAATCAGCTGGTTTTCCTTAAATAGAAAACTTTGAATCAATCTGACTGGATGATCTGGTGAACTGGAAAGTGCCTTGAGATGACATGATGTGAATTGGCGCTATAGAAATAAAATATAAAATGGACAGAGTGAGAGATTCATCTTTCTTACCAAAAAAATACATAACAGCACCTAGAGGAGCTGAAGATGATGTTATGATGCCAGCATGTTTCCATTTCCTGTCCTTCAGGTTTGGAGATGTCTTAAACTCTTAAAAACCACAGCGTCGCCGGCGACCCGGTGGACCTTAAGTGGGGTCATAATTCAGAATGCATAAAATTCCACCGGTAAACATTTTACCAGCAGGTGGAGCCATTGCACGCAGCTCCAAGCTGACACCAAAAGTTCCAGTCCCCACAGCTCTGGAACTGTTATAGCTAGAAGTCTGCAATTTTCTGCATTTGTGGTGGACATTATGTAGAACAAATATAATACAATAAAACCTGCTTTTTCTCAAGAATGTCTTTATTACTGATGTTCAAAAATTATTTCAGAGAATAAAAAAAAAATACTTTGAGTAATGTTTGAACTGATGCAGCTTGTCTGTGTTCTAGTCACCCAATTTTTACAGTTCCTAAGTTATTTGCTTTTCCATTTGGGTATGCAAAATAGGCGAGGATTACCCAAAATGAGGTGGATGTTAAGGGGTTAAAGGCGGCTCAATGGCACCAGGCAAAAGATCGATTACCCAATCAAAGGGGGGGTGAGGTGGTAAAGACAGGTCCTTGGTCATACTAACTACTCGGCTAACCCTAGTGGGATAAAAGGATAAAAAAGCTGACCAGGAATTTTTTCGCTGCTCAGACCTATCAGGTGTGGATTAACATAGAGAGCAGACACCAACAGGAGCTTAGAAAAACGCTCAGCCTTGAGCCAGGCTTGGGAGACCAGTTTTTGGTCAATCAGGTTCTGTTGGAAGCTGGAATGTTAGGATAAAGAATGAGAGCTGCTAAGAGGTTCTGCCCGAACCAGGCAGGATGAGATTTCTGCTGAATCCTAAATCGGCCATTGATCACTAACTATTAACTATTATTATAACTATTAACTATAGAGACTGATCACTAACTATTGACCATCAGTCTCACCCACAATATAGTCTCACTCCCAGCTGTAGAAGGTACTTTGATTGAGGGTAAGGGGGTATAAACCTGAATGGGACAGCCACTTCCTTCGAACAGAAACTGAAAGCAGTGGTTGCTATGGTAACACAATGTTGTCTCTTGTGCATGGCATCAAACATTTGCCATATTCTTAGAAATAAATCTATCAAATCAAACTATTTCAAATAGGAACTTCCATTTAGGGATCATTTTTTCATTTTCTAACGTGATTTTTCCTCATGTGATGAAGATGCAGCAAACCAGCAGAACTAACCTCTAAATAGATGTGTTTCCTCCATCATCAGTTTGCCCGTCACACCTGCTTCCATAACCCAGTGAGCCTGCATGGATGCAGACTCTCTACTTAAGGGCCGGTTTGGGACGGCCCTTAATGTGGCAGACCCTCGAAGGGAACGGAGGCTTAGTGTTTAGGGGACCATAATGACCAGAAGAGCCGATGCACTGATTGGTGTCTCAGTGACACAGTTTCTCCTCAGGGCGTAAATAAAAAAAGTCATAGAGAAGAAGATAAATTAATAATTGGCTGCTGGAATAATCATGTCAATCATCCTCCCCTTTAGTAGCAGGCTTATTTTCTGGCGGCAACAATGATTGAACCTTAAGACCAGAGGTTTTCAAAGTCAGTCCTTAGGACCCTCTTCCCAGCATGTTCCCTGCCTCCACACACCCGTCTTCGATAATTAGCAGATTCCTGCAGCCCGTGGTAGCTGCTGAGGAGGGAGAGGAAACATTTGATGCAGGTGAGCAGAGACAGGCCTAAAACATGCAGGACAGAAGCTTGAACAACATTTGAATATGAGAGCATCGTAGAATCGGTCCAAAGACATGAGAGCTCCTTGTAGGAGGGAGCTGCAGATGCTCACTCCTCTGAGATGAAACCATTCAGGCATCCGTGGACGAGCAGCTGCTCCTCACCTTTACTTGCAGTCTCTTAAAAGAACACGGAAGGTTTGACTTTTTGGCCCATTAATCCCATCAAAATGTAGGGTTTGGACTTTTCCTGCAGCAAAAAGAAAATCATAATAGAAAACATGAACACATCATTAAACAACAGTGTCTCATAAACAGAGATTGAACTAAAGCTAAAGTGAAAACATTTAATACTGAACTGAAGCTTCAGTTAAATATCGTTTGACCCCAGATACCAAAATGATTAAAGTTCACCATGAATTCTTCTTCTGATAGTGAGAACATCAGGCCTTACCTTACTGCCTCGCTGCTACCCAGGAATTAGTCTGGGCTTTGAAGTTTTAGTTCTCAGCTTAAAATAGGAAAACACATAAAAACACAGAATGAATTGTCTTTAAAGAAAAGGGATAATTTTATATATTCTAGTTCTAGTAAATCTGAATAATCTTTAACTTTTTTATCTTGAAGCCATGAAGAGGCGGTTAAACAGTCGCTAAAACTGATATGTGCCGTTTGACTTGTAGTGATTACCGCTGATCTAAATATTGACGAACGTACGGCATAAAACGATAGAAGCTGCATCTCAGGGGTTATGTAATGAAGAGAATTTTACTGGAGGAAAGTCCAAAGCTATATAATCATCTACTGGTCATTATGTAACTTCACACATTGCAGAAGTCTGATCAACATTTGAAATTAAGTTTAATTTGCTTCAGCTGTCTTTGGTTCAAAGAAAAACAAAATTAAATAAGGTCATGAAAGCTTTAAGGCATCCATCCATAGTTAGGCTTAGACTAACAGCAGCTAAAGGAGAAAATGAAAATTGAAAAGAACAAAAAAAAAACATTTTTGATACAGAAAATAAGCTAGAAAAAAGAATGACTGCTCAGAAACATAATTGTATATCATCTAAAGCTATTCTGAGACTGCTGTATTCATTTGTTGAACTGCTGCTTGAGTTTCATACAATTTTATTTCCTCTGACAGAGACAGGAAGTAGATCCATCATATTTCATGGACAGAGTTCACCAATTAGGGTTCTCTTCCAGCCTATTTTTCCACAGAGGCGATCACACAGAAATAACAACATCCTCTAAATGGAATGAATCTTTAACTGATTTGATGCTAAGTAACCCAGAGAAATGGTGACAGAGGTCAGAACTAAGACATATTTGAACGAAGAACACCAACATTAAGAATAACAGTAGCTTTTACAAACACTTGGACTGACCCTGCAGCCTCATTGGTTGTCTCTAGACCATCAATCACCATTTCAGTGGTTATACAGAGACTGCCCTGCTTAAGGTGTTCAATGACATGAAGAACCACAGTGCCTGTATTAGTGGACCTCACTTTGATTCTCTTGATCACTGGATTTTATTAGGGTCTGGAAAACTGGGTCTGCCTTTCAGGTTTAAATTAAACTTGTATGTGTCATTAGGGAACTTTACATCACAACCTCGGTTCCTCAAGGCTCCATTCTGGGGCCCCTCCTATTCAACATCTTCATGCTCCTTTTGGCTCAGATTATAACAAACAACTAGAAAATTTCTAAAGAAATTTTGAGGGGGGCCACCTACTGCCCGTCTGGGTAACTGTGCCAATACGGCCCTGGCAAGTGACATTGGGGCTCCCCAGACCAACTGCTTACGCCTTTGAGGGCTGCT